CAACTAAAGGAAATAACATAACCGCGTATTTATCCGACTTAATACCGAGTGTTTCCAGAACCCTCAACTGAGTCTCTAATTTGTCGTATAACAAGGATAGATCTAATTTATTGCCAGACGCAGTATTATTTATTACTAATTTAAGTAATTCCGTACATAAACTTCGATCTGCAAGTCATCCCGACCGAAACGCGAAATAAGACAGTCAATCATAGCATCATAATTACTTCCAGTGGCGGGAAAACTATCCACTAGTTGCCTAGCTCTACTACCCGGTATAGTAGCTTGAATCAAATATTCGACCTTGTCGTTCGGATCTATGTCAGGATCATGATGAACTTTTTGAAATTGTGACCAAAAAGGCAACCAGTTTTTAATATTCCCGTCAAATTTTTTGAACTCTAATGTAGGTAATTTAAATTTTCGCTTACCGCGTCTGCTGTCTAAACTACTCCTATCATCAGATATCCTAGAAGCTACCTCACCTTCCACTGCACCTGTCACTATTGACTGCATACGGTCTTCGAACTGCATACTGAGATCCAAAAACTTCTTGCTATAGTTGTCACTACACTCAATTTCTGCTAAAAGGTCTTCTTCACTAGCGTCTTCACTTAGTAATAGACCGTAGATTTCTTCATCACTTTTCCTTAGGTCTTCAATTTTTTGGCGTAATAGATCCAAGGAAACTTTAATTGATCGTATCTCACCCTCCGGCGCCGACAAAAGCTTATCCATTTCATTCGCCGTCCTCGTGAAGGTGCTACGGAGCACTTTGCGATGTTTCTTCTTTTGATCCATTTTTCTCTGCAAACTTGGTCAAAACCACACACGTTTACCGAAAGTTACAGGCGAAACGCGATAAAGTTTGTCCGGTGATCGTCAATTCAATTTTGTTACACCTCGTATACAACCACGATTAATTTTATGGAAACAGTCCTGTCACGGTCGCCAAATATGTCAAGTGTGTACCAACGCAATTCTACCCGAATTTGCGTATAAAATACACGGTTCGTATATTGCAAAATTAAACTTCAAAATTATTCAAAATCTATATTTGCCAGTTCCCAACAAAACATATCGCGTGCTTTTAAAAAATGATGTAACAAAAATTATCACTTATAAGCATCAATCTATACATACACAAAATTAAAAAATACTACGCCACGGATACCGACCGTTCAGCGCTCAGATTCTTAGTCAACTGTAAGAACCTCATCAATTTTTATTACACCACTTACGCGTTAAAATAAAGAAAATAAATTGAAGTGATGGCGATAAAATATAAGAATTATTGCCGACAAGTGGAAAGATTGTTATGATTTAAAAAGGTTTTATAGCTAAAGCTTTCTTTGAATTTTAATAAGAGATTTTGTAACTTCATCATTCAACATAATAATATATGTGCATACAAACAAAATAATTATCAAATGGCTGTGACATTCTGCTTTTCGTTTCTTTGCCGATATTTTTATTTCTCCATATTGCTTCATTTAGGCAGCCTGCGGCTCTGTTTGCTCTATTCACTTGATCTTCCACTTCGGTTTCAAGCTTTCCGCAGCTAGATAAATGTGATGCATAGATATTTAAACTCCATCACTTGTTCTATTATCTGACTTTCCAGATCCAATTTACATCTTAGTAAATCTGCTGGTGTAACCATGCATTTTGTCTTTTTTGGGGAAATTAACATATTAAATTTTCTGGCGGTTATATTAAATTGGTGCAGCATACGTTGTAAATCATCTTCACTTTGAGAGAGTAGTATTGCGTCGTCTGCATCCAGTATCACGTGTAAATGTAGGCAATGATCTGGTTCCTACAGCTAAAATTCCAAATTCGGATGAACAATATAAGGGAAATATGATCTCCCAGGTAAAACCTCTCATCCAAACAGAGGCCTGTCAGAATCAGTTAGTGGTGATGCCTGGAAATGCCTCACCCAGAAAGGAAACGTCCCTGAGACGTAGTTCCAGGATAGGCAAAAAACCTATCAGATTAAATCTTTAGTTTAGGATCAGAGTCAATCATTAATCTTATTGTTTTTGTTAATAGGGAGGGAAATGTTATGTATTTGTTTAGTGTTAAATTAGTTATAACTGGAGACGATTTGGTAACACGGGAATTATAACAATTGGCACGACTAACAGTGTCACTTTGGTTCAGGAGTTATCTAAGCTAGTGCGTGAGCGAACATTGTATCCGACTATATAAGATTAATTATAGCACTGTATTGGTAATATGTTAAATATAATTGTTTAACCGAACCCACAACGTTTATTTATCATTTCATCAAGCAGTATACATAACATTAATAGTGGCTCGACCCGGGTCAATTGAACCTATGTTAACTTATATCATCATCATCAGTTGGCGCTACAGCCCTTCGTGAGCCTTGTCCTGCTTCAAAACATTCTTCCATCCATCCCTATCGAGTGTCTGCCTTCTCCAGCCCCTCACTCCAATCTCCCTCAGATCTTCCTGTACATCGTCCAGATATCTGAGTTTAGGTCGCTTCCTTCTTCTTTTTCCGACCGGCCTGTTTAGCATAGTTATTTTTGTGGGACCACTCTCATCCATCCGCATAACGTGGCCCACCCACCTTAGGCGGTTTATTTTGATGGTCTTCACAATATCTGCATCACCAAAAAGTCTATAGAGTTCAAAGTTATATCGCCTTCTCCACAGACCCTGTTCGTTTACTCCGCCATATATGGTCTTCAATACTTTTCTTTCAAAGACTCGTAGTAACTCTTCATCTCGGGTTGTCATTGCCCATGTTTCCGATCCGTATGTGAGCACTGGGCGTATTATTGTTTTATAAAGTTTGCACTTTGTTGCTATTGACATACTTCTCGCTATTAGTTGAGGGTCCAGGCCAAAATAACAGCGGTTAGTCACGCATATTCTTTTTTTATCTCGTTGGATCTGTTATTTTTGTAGTCTACCAGTGATCCTAAGTAGCAGAATTCTTCTACCATTTCTATCGTTTCGTGTTGTACCTCTAAGTTATTTTGTTGAACTCTTGATATGGCCGGCATATATTTAGTTTTCTGGATGTTAATCAGAAGTCCTATGTTTTCTACGGCATTTTTGATACGTGTGAAAGCCTCCACTGCTTCATTTTGGGTTCTTCCAATTATGACGATATCATCAGCGTATGCCATTATTTGTATACTACGGGTATATATCGTACCTTTTAAGTTTATTCCCTAATCTCTCATAACTTTTTCTAACGCTAGGTTGAACAGCGCGCACGATAGCGCATCTCCCTGGCGCAGTCCTCTGTTGGTTTTAAATGGTTTTTAAACATCCCCTTGTACGCGCACTTTACATTCGACTTTCATAATTGTCATTTTAATTAATTCTACCAAAGCTTTTGGTATTCCTAATTCGATCATCGCCGAATATAATCGGGACGTGTCAATAGTATCGTACGCTGCCTTAAAGTCTACGAAGATGTAATGGCAGTCTATGTCGTACTCCGTCGTTTTTTCTAATATTTGTCTGATGGATGATATGTGATCAATGGTAGATTTGTGTTTCAAGAAGCCTCTTTGGTAGGATCCTATTATATTGTCAGTATACCGTGCCAATCGTTCGTTAAGTATCAGGGACACAATTTTGTATGCTGTATTAAGAAGGGAAATCCCTCTAAAATTGGAACATTCAAGAACGTTTCCCTTTTTGTGTATGGGGCATATAATTCCAGTATTCCAATCTTTTGGAAACGCGCGTTCTTGCCATACCTGTATTAGTAGTTTGTGAAGGAGGGTTACAAATGTTTGACCGCCACATTTAAATATTTCTGCGGGTAGGTTGTCTGCTCCGAGTGACTTGTTTCTGGCTAGAGACTGAATTGCTTTGTTTATTCCTTCCAAAGTTGGTAGTTCAGTATCCTCCTGGTCTATTTCTATATCATATCTACCTTCAGCTCTACTTTCTCCATTAAGTAGCGCACTAAAATGTTTCTGCCAACTTTCGAATACTTCCACTCTCTCGTTTAAAAGAATTCCGTTAAGGGCCTGGACTTGGTTCGCTTGTGGCTTGAAAACTTTTCTTTTTGTGTTAACCTGTTTGTAAAATATTCTGTATATGTGTTCTCTATTAAGGTTTTTCATTTCATCGAACTCTTTATTGATTTGTTGCCGCTTTTCTGTTTGTGTTTTTGTTTTTCCTCTCGTCTCTTTACTCGATATTCTTCAACATTGCTCCTAGTCCTTCTGTTGATCATTTTCAGATACGTTCTTCTTTTTCGTTACTCATTGGCATTCCTCATCAAACCAGTTGTTTCGCTGTCCTTTGGGTACTTCACCCAGCACTTCCTCTGCGGTCTCTTTGAGCGTGGTTTTCATAAACTCCCAATTTGTGTTAAGTTCAGTGGGATATACCTCACTTCTGGGATGTTCTGATATTTTACGATCTAAGCATATTTAGAAAATTTCGGTAATGCGAACTTCAAAGCGACAAATGGACTGCAGACAGAAAAAACGTTCAAGTTCCAAACGTTCCTTAAAAAAAAATTGTTGGAGAAGCAAAATATGCCGATGTATCTGACGGAAATATATGGATAACGGATTTCATTAATTAAAATTTTTGTACTTTTTTTTATTATTTTTTGCTTATTTTTAAAAAATGTTAGGCTAATTGTAAAGGTGTAATGTTAATGTTTCTCGTATTTTTGTAAACAATTTTACCTCTGTAAGTACATATTCGTGTAACTTTATTGTAGTGACGTATATAGTGACGGGATAGAATAAAGTGACGAGTAAATATAATTGTTTTAATTACAGACCGACAGAACCTGATATATCAAAAATATTATGTATCTAAACTTGCCCGAAACATCGTTTGCATAATCAATTTATTATTGTCTATGGTTACGAGCAGTTCATCTAATCACGCTTTCCAAAAATCTATTAAAAATAAAACTTGACAAGGTCATGACAGTTCAAGATAAAAAATTTTTCGGTTTACAAAAAAAAATTAATAAAACTTACAAAATTCGGATAATTGTTCAACTAACTCTCCGTTTCTTATCGCATCCGGTCCATTGGTAACACCTTTTTTAGGTTGTCCTTTACCAAAAGGGACACCTAAAATACCAATTTTTTTGGTAGAATATTGCCGCTTTGCAACACATTCTGTGATAAGTTTCTTCAACATGTCTAACTAAACTATGTTATCGTTAAGGAAGATTCACTATTAACCCAATAGTAGTTCAAAAGGTTATCTTTGGAAAAATGCAATAGCACTGTTTAAAAAAACAAGATTTGTAGATTTCGCAATGTATTAGTTAATCTTATCGATTAGTTACTTATATTCCTATTAAATATTCAAATGACAGATATTAAGAACTTGTGAAAACATATCTTTTGGATATTGTTCTGAAGCTATTTTCTTGTGGCATTGTAAATTAATTACTATTTATAACTGGGAATAAGCCTCAATTAAAGATAAAAATACGTTTATTGACGTTTCAATTTCCAATTCGGAAATCGTTCTCAAAATACAAACAGTAAATTAAACAAATTTTGTTTTTTGTTACATAGTGAAAAAATTCTTCTAATAATTTAATTTTATCTGACTTATTTATATTGACAATTCAGACATACATTATGCATTTTAAAGTAGACGACTTTAAAATGATATTGCCAATATTGTTGAGTTGCGCTCCTGGGACGACTTTACTTATAAGATAGTTCATTCGATTACATGAAATCAACTTTAACTTGAGAATATCCGTCAGAAAAAATCATAGCATGTAATTCGTCTTTAAAAAGACAAACACATGACATGATGACAGTAAAATTCTCCTGTTAGTGATTCCATAGTAAATTATGAGGGAAAAACCAGGAAAAAAACCTCATAATACTATCCCGACATTGTAAGTATTTGTTCGTGAATTTAGTTTACCTTCAACAAACATCAAAATTCTGATTTTATATGTTACGTTATTTAAAAAATATAAATGATGTATCCTCTATATGTTACTGACTTACTAATACTGGTATTTTCTTATTAATAACTTCCTCTTTCAATATTGGTAACCAGATCCTACTACATTCTGCCGAGGAATTTGCGACACAATTGGCCTCATTTAGCATAATTAGAGCCGCTTCTTTGATTTTTCTTTTTTTACCATCCGTTTCTTTTATTACTATATTTGAATTATTCCATTGAACCCTATGTTCATTATCCCATGCGTGTTTACATATTTGAAATCTATCAAATTCTCTATTTTTAATATAAGATTGATGTTCACTTATTCTAACATTTAATGGCCTTGATGATTCACCTAAATAAAACTGATCGCATTCACAAGGTATTTTATAAATGCAATTCTTTGTCCTTTCTTGTTCATTGTTAGGTTTGGTTTTGGACAAAATAGATCTCAACGTGTTTGTTGTTTTGAATGTTGTTGAAATGTTGAATTTATTTCCTATCCTTTTAAGTTTTTCTGATAATCCTTTTATGTACGGTATTGTTATTTTCCTCATATTATTCCTTGTGTATGCTGTAGGATCTCGTTCTAAGTTGTTCTGTTCTATTCGATCGATTGTTGAAAATTCCTTATTTATAAACGATAAAGGATAATCATTTTTTAATAAAACAGATGTTAACAAATGTTTCTCCTCCAAGAACGAATTTTCGTTAGAGCAAGTAATTTTTGCAAGTGGTCATCTAACCTGACTGATGAGCCAATTCCAAGGTCCCGTTTGGTCCTCCATTTATCATGTGACTCTTGAAGTGCACTCTCATACGTGCATCATAGTATTTCCAGCTGCATTTATAAACAAAACTGTCGTAACCAGAGTTCCTCTCTCACCACTTACAGCAGCTGCTAGTTGTTTTTGGCCTTTTTGTGAATGTACACGAGAAGGTTCTTGATTAGTTTCAGTTTTTGTTTCATCCATATTCCAAATCTTGGATGAGTCACAGAGTTCTGGGTATCTTTTGAATAATTTTTCATAATTATTAAAAAAGCATTCACATTATGTTTCTTAAAGGAAATTGCACGCGCAATACTGCATCCTTCAGCAACACGGAGAGATAATCTTGGGTGTCGTTTCATAAAACCGTATAGCCACTCCTTTCCTGCCATTCTTGGAGCATCCCAGTTTTAAGGACAGTCAATACTGTTCATTTTGGTCATCTCATGTGTTCGTTTTCGAGTTTCTAGATTGTTAAGACCATAAATCATTTTTGAACACTTAATTAAATATGCCTCAAGGTCGTCTTCCTGTTTGTCAGTAAAAACCTTTCTAATATCGTTTCTTAATTTCATATCATGTTCGCCACTTGGGTTTTCCCTAAACGTCTTAACGTACATACCAACAGTTTGATATTTTAATCCAAATCTTTTAGCAGCATTTCTTATAGATTCACCATCTAGGATGCCCGATACACATTTTTCCATAGATTCGGCATCGAAATTTCCTTCTGTTTTTTCTTTTTTCCTATTTCTTGCCATCTTCAGACAATCTGCAACAAAGTAAAACCCTTTTTAAATAACTAATAATAAATATATATAACTGAATAACTAAATATATATATATATATATATATATATATAAATATAAATATATATATATATATATACATATATATAAATATATATATATATATATATATATATATATATATATATATATATATATATATATATATATACATAACTTAAGCTCGTTATTTAAAAAAAGGTGTCTCTATTTTCCATTGCGTTTGTCTGATAGTGCCTCATACCCTTTTGTCTGAAGGTGCCCCACTCGATGTGTCCAGACTAAATGTAAAAATATAACCTAAGAGTGCTATCAGTAACAAATGTGGATAGTACAGGTTATACAGCAATAAATGGACTTAAAACTGGTAGCAATGTTAATTTTCCTAAGTCTTATCTTCTAATAAAAAACTTATCTTACCTTCAATCCAAAAATTTTACTTTCAACCACCAAAAACTAACTTTTCACTTTATAACCTGAACCCTTTACTGCACTGTCCTACAGATTGAACTACAATAGTGTGAGTAGTAATGGAATGTTTTGTGTTCAACATTCAGTGCTGTCAACCCGAGTCCTTAAATTTACCCACAATATCAATGTGTGAAGCTGGCGAATGGATCATGTTTATAATGTTTACCTCTTTGAAGGTATGACACCAGAAAAATGGAATAGTGGCATTATGATAATATTGCATAAAAAAGGAGATGTAACATAAAATTGGAACTAAAGACCTGTCACCTTGTTATCTCATTTATATATGCTCTTTATGAAAATAATTACTAACAGACTGGAACCTTTTTTTTTTGGGAGGTGAGAATCTTCAAAATACCTCTGGGAAGGTGTCCCAGGTTTATTGGATTCGGACGACTACGCCTTACCGTAGTTGACCGCCTACCAACTAAACTCACCCCCTCTTTCTCCAACCGACGGGCAAGAAGACGGAACAGACTGGTACCTAAGCTAGATTTTCACCTACAACTAGAGCAAGCCGAATTTATGAGTGGCTTTGGAACGAATTACCACTTACAAGTAATAAAATCCTTGATAGAGAAAGTTATAGAATACAACAAGCCATTGATATTAATATTTGTAGACTTTAAGAAAGCATTTGGCTCAGTCCAGCATAGCTCCATGTTGAGAGCTCTTATAAAGTGCAGTATTGATCATAGGTACAAAACCCATTTTCGAAATATATATACTAGCGCAACAGCTGCAGTGAGAATGTACTATGGCGACACAAACATATTCCCCTTGGATAAGGGTATTAGGCAAGGAGACACCATCGAACTTAAACTATTCTCATGAGAAGCCATAATTGGGAAAATATTGGAGTCAACATAAATGGGGAGATTCTGAACAATTTGAGATTTGCAGATGACATAGTCCCTATTGCATACTGGGTAGATCATGCCTGTCAACTTCTTTAAGACCTTTAGAGCTCTTGTACTCGAGTTAGCCTTAAAATTAATCTGGGTATCTGAGATTAAATTAGGAAGAGACAGTCAAACAACAGAGTTAAACAGGAGAACAAGAGCAGCTTACGGAAAACTAAGAGGAGGTCTTTAGATAGATATTCCCATGTGCTTGAAAAGAATTGATCAATGTGTACTTCCAGTTCTAATGTATGGAGCAGAAACAGTGACCCTTGTCATAAAAGTAATCAATACAAGTGGCACAGAGAGCAATGGAGAGGTTAATGTTAAATATATCTCCTATAGAGAGACTTTCAAATCAAATAGAGAAAAACGTATTATGGATTGAGTTAAAAGAATTACAAAGCTGAAATGGAACTGGGCAGGACATGTTGCCAAAGTCAGAGATGGAATATGGGTCAAGAAAATTTTAGAATGGGGACCTAGACACGATGCTTGTCGTAATCGAGTACGTCCTCCAACAAGGTGGTTAGACGGCATCAAGCGCATCCCAGCGCATGGAAGCAAAACGGCTAATGATATTATATATTAAAAATGAGGAACTCAGGATAATAGCAAAGATACCTCAATTATTGAAGACAAAGAAAATTTGTCTATACCTACAAAAACATTTTATAATTTTGCTATGATCTCTCCTGCTCCAGAGACTTGTTCTAACCAGTCAAAACAAAAATCTAAAGTAACAAAAAAGAAGCACTCACAAATATTGACTTCAACGCCTATGAAGACTGAATTGGAAAATCTGGCACTAAAAATATAAATCCTCCGAAAAACACACAAAAACTAGAATAAGTAAAAACACCAAGTTATCCCACAAAAGAAAAGTTTTCAAGCTTCAGATTCAGATGAGGAAGTGGAACCAGTTTGTGACGATGATGATGATGAAGAATTTATGGAAGAGGTAGCATACAACAATAATGAGATCTGTCTCATATGTCGAGAATTCGGCAAAAATAATGAAATTTGATTTCGTTGTGTTAACTGTGGCAAATGGGCTCATACACTGTGTAGTGGTGCTGATCGGACTGAAAACTGTATTTATGCGTTTTGTTAATTTAAGGTTGTAGTTACCAACTAGCGGACCAACTCGACCAAAATCATTTATACGTGTGTTTTGCCAAAGTAAAAGTTGAAGTACGTTCTTCAAAGTTTATTTGTTTGAGATTCGAGATTATACATAAGGTAATTGACTCCCAAACCTGAATAAAAATAAAATTAAATGTTTGTTTTTCTACAATATGTCTGAAATACGGGAAGTAAATTTTACATTATCTTAATTATTTATATGGTTACAAGATCGGCAGAGATCTGTAGTTGAGGCTGAGGCAGTTTTTGGAGCTGGCCACGTTATATTTTGTAAATTACGCCTTAAGTTTTCTACTAATAACTTCATGATACCGTTGGGGCAATTTAGCTGATGAAACAGCATTTTTCTTTAGTCTTTTCAATTTAGTTTCAGGTGTTACTATAAAGTAAATTAGGTATAAATATATTAAAATATAAATAATATTTTAATCAACAGTTGGAAAGTAATCGTTCTCAGTAAAATATAAACTGCACACAGTCATGTACTTGGTTATAGGTTTTAACTTTTCTCATATTCTCGTCCAGCGGAAACTTATGTATGAATTTTTTTTGTGAATTAGGATCAACATTGAGGAACACTGCAATAGTTTTTTGAAGTCAAAGTCATTGTTAATTACAATAAAAACCGGTTGCTAATATGTATACAAAATAATGACAATTTCAAAGTTTTCCCGAAGTGGATGCTTTTGAAATCTACCACCAGGCGTGGCCCACTTTGCGGCTCCTCGCCAATAATGCAACTAAGAAAAAATTGTATTCATAATATACTGTCGGATGACCATCTTTTTTCATTACTAAAAATTTCAGCCTCACAAATACAGCCGAATTATGGCCAAATCAAACAAAAACATTTCCAGATGTCACATAATATCTCCACAAAGTCTAGTTCTGTTCTACCTTCTACTTCACAGTTAATATAAAATTTTAATTTAATTAAAATGCTATTTCAATCGCTCGCAAAAATACAATGTTTTGCGCCATATAATTCATTAGTAAATATTGGCACGCGAAAGAAAAAGTTTCCCCATCCCTGATCTAGGATGTCTGTGGTAACCCTTTAATCCACGTATATTTTGAGACGTATGATCCACGAATAATAATTGAGAAGTTAAAATTTTTAAATCTTACCTTACATGATCTCTCATTCATTGCTTCGTAATCTAAGACGTGATTGATGTTGTTATCAACTACAAAAGCCATTATATATTCTTTCATTTCGTTATCTTTTTCGCTAAATAGTATTGTTTTTTGTATTTTATTCCATTGTCTAGTCATTTGATGTCTTGTTTTACAGCTAGTTTGTTGTCATTGAGCAGCGATACGGGATCTACTGGTTTATTCCATGTTAAATCTATCTATGAACCAAATATGTAATCCATATTTCTCCTGCCTAAGTCGTTGACAATAAGATTGCTCTATCTAAGGCTTGATTTTAGGTCGCACGACAGTACTACCCTGCGTGGCTTGGTTTTAGGGGTCGTATCACATATTTCTTTACGAGAATGGTTGATAGAATAAAGATGCCAAAATACAATTATTTTTTTTTATATTGAAAAAATTATAAAAAATTAATAGTAACATTAAACAGTTAAGAAAAAACTTATTATAATGTATATCCCTATAGTTTTCGGAAAAAATAAATGTGTATTTTTTAATTGTAAATTAAGTTTATTTTATTGACTGACGACCTGAAGCGTGTAAGCAATAACTGGATTCAAGCCGCACAAGAAATCATCATCATCACGTAGCGCTACAACCCTGGGTGGGTTTTGGCTGACTGTACAACTTTGTTCCAATTTGTTCGGTCTTCCATCAAGCTACGGTCAAATGGAATGTTCATTTTCCGGAGATCTGCTTGGACGTTATCTCTTCATCGCATTCTGAGACGTCCAAGTGGTCTTTTGCCTGTGGAAATCTCCTCCCATACCAGTTTTACAAGTCTCTCGTTATGCAGTCTGTGCACGTGGCCTGCCTATCTTAGTCGATGTGATTTAATTTCTTGGACAATATCGGCGTCAATGTAGAGTGCTTTTAATTCGATATTGGTTCTGATCTTATACAGGTTTGTGGTGAGCTCATGGTGAGGTCCGAAAATATTTCTAAGTATTTGTCGTCCAAAGCGTCTGAGCTTTTCTTCGCATTACCTTGAAAGTGCCCATATATTGATATATTAACACAAATATGAGAGATATTCAGTGCTCCACGAAACTTCTGCCTGGCCAGGCTCCCCCAATATAGGATTTCCTTACCCTGGGGGTTCCCTTCTGGGGCTCAACTCTTCATGGGCTTGTTGCCTTAAGAAAAGACTCATTTTTCTGAATTTGGTTGTTAGCTCTCGACAATGTTAATAATTTCTATTGGCGATTGTACTGAAAGTGTCCATATACCATCGTTTTCGAAACAGAATAAATATGCGACACCTCCAGACAATCGCTCTCTTTAGTCTCAAACCAGAGCGTGCCCACTGCTTGTCAAGGCACCCTACAGCATAGAACTTTACGCCCTGGAGGACACCTTTTGGGGCTCTGCTCGTTTGTAGCCAAGGCTACACCATTTTCATTTCTCTTCACGGGCTTGTAGTCTCGAGCAGACAGACTCCTTTGCTGAGTTATGGTTGTCTACGACAACTATTGTTTTATTACTATCTACCCTTCCTCCGTCGAAGAAGTAATGGACGATGGCTTGATTAGATGGATGACTTGATGTTAGACACAAGCACGTCGGCCTGGACCACATTATGTTGGATTCCTCGCGTTGATGGATCGTTAAAGCACCCTCAATAATTAAGATTAAGATTACCATTTTTTTAAATATTAAATCCACGATATGGTGATATAAGGTGCAGATTGTCGCAGATTGTCACTCTGACGGGCCAATAACAAACAGTCTTATTAACTGCTTTGTTATTGGCCTCCTGGCGGAAGATCACTGCTAAATTTCAAACACGTAACATTCCCTCCTCGAACATTCTTTCTTCCTATAATTTTCGTGAATACGATCTCTTCTTCGGTCTTCCTTTCTTTAATGTCTTCATTTCGTACTGGGTTCGCAGTCGTTTCTATTTATTTCTCGACCTTGAGACTTCTCTTTCCTTCTTTGGTTTTTTTTGGATGCGCAATGTCTATTTTTTGTCACATTTTCTCTTTGGACTTTTAGAAATATTTTGAGTCTGAAATAACTAGATTGTGATCACTATAAACTATCTGCACCAGTGTGGATTTTTATGAATTTTATATATTTCGAACTACACTTTTCTGTCTGGAATGTTATTTAAAAACGTTGTTATATTAAAAGGTTATTTATTCTCTACACAAAATTGTATGAGCCTATCTTCCCTGTTATTTCTTGTGCCGGGACCATAAGTCCCTATATTGTCTTCTTCAGTACCACTGCCAATTTTGGAATTACAACATCCAGTGATCATTCTTGCCTCACCTCTCTATTTCAATAGAATTATTTTATTATAAAACGATTCGTGTCTTATAAAAAAGTGGCTTTATATAAAGTAAAGAATAAAAATTATAGAAAAATCAGTGGAAACAAAATGTATAAAAAGAACTCTTTGAAATTATTCTCTGGATGAACTAAAAGATCGTTCATTCTTCACCTATTAAACGCAATTTGATTTTCTAGTAAGAAAATATTTCTTATTAGTATAGATAATATAAAAAATTCAATAATGTTACTATCACATGTCTTCTATCACAATTCGATTTGGTTTCTTAATCCAAACGATTGTTAAATCGAATACTGTACTGATTTTCATATACATTGATCATTTCTTCCAAATACTTGTTAAAAACTAAGGGATTGTTCTGTTCGATCCATATTTTCTGAATGAATACATTTCTACCGTAAGAATTTTCTTTTAAACGTCCAAATATTTTAATCTAAAAATTAACATAATTAATAAATTTTCTTAAATTGGATATAAAAATACTGGAAATATATGCAGTATTCAGATTTTTTAAATTTTATTTGATGTTTATATCTAGATGTTTTGTCATAAAATGTATCTTCAGAATAAAGACTCCAGAATGCATAGACATTTTGACAGACTGAAACCTAAACGGAAGACGAAAGAGAAGACGACTGACAATATGGAAAAATAAAACAATGCGAGCAAGAGTATTGTATTTTATGTTACTTACCGTATCTCCCAACTCTATTTCATTAAAAGCCGGAACAGTTTTCTGTAAATAATTAATTGAGGACATGGTGATTTGCGCTCCTTTTACCCAAGAGCTCTTATTTGTTGTTTTTCTTAGCAACCATTCATTACAGGCCTCTAAATCACTATCCAATTTTTTTAAATTATTTAAAGTATTTACTGAAATAATACATCTGATGACGCTGGTTCCATCATCAACTAAAAAATATAAAAGTATTTGACTTTCGTAATTAGCATCTGGGATATATTTCAAATTTAGAAAAGTAATAGTAAAATTGAAATAAAACTATATATTTATATATGAAGATGAAATGAACTGTTTTAGACCAATCCCATAGGTAGCAATGTTATAGACGAAATTGTTGATGATTCTCTTCTGTGGCATGATTAAAAAAACTTTTTAAAAATGAGGTCACTCCTGTGTAATAATACATCTTGAAACTTCAACTTATAAAATGCATGATTAAATGTTACATGTGGTCATTTGTCTTACAAGATGTCGACACATGGACCTTGAAAATATCCACTAGTAACGGCTTTTGAAATGTGGTTTTATACAAGAACAACACAAATATCACAGATGGCAAAGAAGACAAACGAAGAGCAGAAGCTATTCGTCAGTTGATTGATAGCGTCAAATTCAGTAAAATAGCATATCTTAACCCTATAACGCGGGGAAAACAGTATAATATATTTTGACTAATTATGATCTGAGAAGAACTGTATTTTTTCCCTTTAAACCTTTACCTGTTGTAAACCTTTACAACAAATTTTCAATTTATCATTGTCATCATCTGTATTTCCACAATATTGGAAAAATAGTTTTCTTACACCTATCTATAAATATGACAATCGCGAGTGTGTTTACAATTATAGAGATATAACTATTCAATCAGTAATCCCGAAACTAATTGATAAATTGGTATCGATAAATCTCACCTGGGCTTGCAGAAACATAATTATTGATGAACAACATGGTTTTTCTAACGGGAAATCAACTGTAACAAACCTTGTCAATTACCAACAATAATTGTTGGGTGCATTTGAGAATAAAATTCAGGTCGACAGCGTTTACACTGATTTCTCAAATGCCTTTGACCAGGTTAATCATAATCTTTTGGTCCACAAACTTCATGCATCTTAAGAGCGTAGGCGCAAAATGTCAGGCCAATGCTTTTTAAATGCATTCATTTTTTTCGGATCCTGAGAAAACTAATAAATATTTTTGAAAAATTTAAACGCAGAATGAAAAAATACATTATCACCGAGGGCCGAAAGTCCCTGAAAACTTCTATAATGTTTATTTTATTAAGTTACAGGGGTGAAAAAAAAAAGAGAAAATTTAGTGTGATTTTTAATTTCAAATATCTCATTCACAAAAACTTTTTGTTTATTCTAGGAACTTTCGGCCCTCGGTAATAATATAATCTTTCATTCTGCGTTTAAATTTTTCAAAAATATTTGTTAGTTTTCTCAGGATTCGAAAAAAATGAATGCATTTAAAAAGTATTGGCCCGAAATTTTGCGCCTACGCTCTTAAGAATCTGATTATTAATCTAGATATGTGATACTTACTATGTGATACTGATACTTTTTTTTAATTCTTGTGATTTGATATACTGTTTTAATGTACAAATTTTAACTGTTTACCTATTTCTTTTTTATTGTTTTGATGTTTATTGTACATGATCTTTACTTTTACTTTTTAATATTTGTTGTGTTTTATTGTAAATCGTTCTACCGTTGAAATAAATAAATAGATTATGATGGATAAAGTCAAAGGATTCAGCTGAATTGGTAAAAAAAAACAAGACCCATGATTCAAGAATATCAGAGACTCGACTGAGATACAGAGAGTAGAATAATTTCTCAGAATAGCTCAAGACAGGGACAGTCTTGCCATATTAATCGTCAATGTCAAAGGGACTTAATAAGTCATGTTAAGAAGACGTGTTTTAAAAGTAAAAACAGATTTTCTTTAACTAGCTGTTTATACTATATTTGTGTGTCTTTTACAAAACCTGCAAAACTGCATTATGCAGTACATTTTAATAAAAATAATAATATTATTAATGATAGTATACCATGAATATAATATAAATAAAACATTCATAAAACTGTCAAACTATACTTTCATCATTTGTACAACTATAATAATATGGTAAAACTCAGGCAACTTTGATGTTGTACAATTCTGTGAGTTTTTATCTTTTGATTATTTTTCTATCATAAACAAAAGAAAAAACTTTTGTTTAACCATTTATTATCACATGTTTAATTTGTTATATATGAAGCAATATACTAAGAGTCATAAAAGACAAAGAATGTAATGCTTCTTCCAGAAATTTACCTCCTAGTCTCATTTATATCTAGATTAGATTAGATTAAGAGAGGTGGCCTTTCGGCCTATTCCACTGCGACCTTTTCAGATCTATTGCGGTCCTCTAGTTCTAGATAACATTATCTAGCCTGAACCTTTTTATAAAGCCTAGTAGCTCCGAGACTGTACCTTCCATGTAGCTATTTGCCGGTGGATTTTCTTCCTATGATGCAGAGAACCTCTTTCTGCTTTTTCATTGCCCTTATGACCCTTGTGCCTGGTACCCAGGCTACCGTAACCTTGCTACTGTCTCCTAGTTTATTTAGGGCACACATGCAATCCCATACTAGCTTAGAATTGACTCATTTATATCAGTCATCATCTTGACTAGTATGATATTTTTATTTCAAACTGGAGTAAATCAATAATTTTTATTGGAGTAGTATTTGTATTTTATGGCTAACAAAATAATGTATAATCTAAATATCCAAATTAACGAATATAATACATAAAAATATCTAACAAAATAAAGCTTTTTCTACTGATTTTAATAATAATATGAACAAACCATTGGTCTTAAAATCAATCAGACAAAAACAAAATATATGCCTGCAAATAAAAATGCACAAATAAGGCAGCTGCCAAATTTAACAATAGGAGAATACAACATTGAGGCGGTAAAAAACTTTACATACTTAGGATCCCTAGTTACGTCTGATAACAATGTTGCAGAGGAAGTGAAGAGGAGAATATTTATTGCCAATAAATGTTACCATGGCTTAATTAGGCAACTAAGATCAGATAACGTCTCCAGAAAAACAAAATGCCAAATATACAAAACCTTAATAAGACCGGTACTCACATACGGTTCAGAAACCTGAACACTCTCTAAAAGGGAGGAAACGTTGTTAGCCACCTTTGAAAGAAAAATCTTGCGACACATATATAAGGGCACAAAAGAAAACGGGATTTGGCGGAGAAGGTATAACTTTGAACTATACAACATATACCAGGATCCGGATATCATAACATTCATTAAAATAGGAAGGCTACATTGGATTGGACATGTGGTAAGAATGGAAGAAGGTGAAATACCAAACAAAATATTCAAACAAGTGCCAGTAGGAAAAAGAACAAGAGGAAGACCGAAGCTGAGATACGTAGAACAAATAGAAAATGATATAACAACATTAAAAATTAAAAACTGGAAAAAATAAAGCACGAAACAGGTCAGAATGGAGAAGAATCCTTGAACAGGCCAAGACCCAAAAAGGGTTGTCGAGCCAGTGATGATGATGATGAACAGCCATTATATCAATATTTGAAAACAGATATGAATGCAAAAAAGAAGAACACTATAAACAAAACTTTGTGAAATTAAATTTCTTTACAACTTTGCATCACATGCTTATCTAACATTTACAAGATTATTTTAAACAAATTTAACAACACACTGACTTACCATCTATAAAGTAATGTTGGGAATATTCATATCTATGGACTACATTACCACACAGAAGTACTTGTGAAAAGGTCATATCTTTACAAACAAAACCATTTTCAACTTTATCAGCAGTAAATAAATCACAGATAAAAAATCTTCCAATATTCTTAGATGTCATTGGAGTGTGTTCATATTTTGGATCATTTTCTGGATCGTTTTCATCTTCAGTAACTATCCATTCTGAAAGAACAAAATACATATAGGTAAAAGACATAATCAATAACAGAACAAAAGAAATATTGGAAAAGAAGAGAAAAGAAAATAATGTTAAATTTTGGACACACAGAAAGACATTAGATCAAAGAAGTCAAATCTTAGAAGAATGAACAAAAAATATGCTACCACAAATTCAAATACATACTTGTAAAAACATAACATCTTTACCAATAAACATTTCAATTTTATGAACTGAAAATAAATCAACAAGAATATTTCCAATATTCTTAAAGTTTATTTTTGAATAATTTTTGGATTATTTTTACATTCAGTCACTATTCAATCTAATCTTCTAGCTGAACTATATAGAGAAGATGGCCATGATACCATAATGACATTACAGGAACTTATAAAAGAAATATGGACACAGAAATCCCTCCCCAATGATTGGAATATAGGAGTACTTTGCACCATACACAAAGAAGGAGATATCTTTGAATGCTCTAACCACAGAGAAATTACACTTCTAAATACAGCATATAAAATATTTTCCACAGAACTATGTCACTGTATGGCACCATATGCAGAACGGATAGTAGGAAAATACCAGGCTGTTTTCAGAGGTGGTAAATCAACAATTTATCAGATTGCTACCCTGAAACAAACTTTGGAAAAAATACTGGAATATGGCATTGATACTCATCACATATTTATTTATAGAGCATATATGTTCAAAGCAATGAAAGAGCTAGGAATACCAAATCAGTTGGTAAATTTAACAACACTAACTCTTGAAAATGCCTCCTAGCACATACAAAACAGGACATGCAACTCCAAATAAACAAGGTACAAGAAGAATCAAAGAAGGTTGGTCTAGAAATAAACATCAACAAAACCAAAGAAATGCGATTTGGTACCAGAAACAACCAACCTATTACGATCAACGACCAGAAAATTGAGAGAGTAGCGAAATTTGTATATCTGGGCAGCATAATTGACTGTAATGGGGGTACAGAGCGTGATGTACATGAAAGAATAAATAAGGCTCGCAACGCCTACAACATGCTTAACAACATATGGAAATCCAGGATTTACCCAACTAAAACAAAATTAAAAATCTTCAACACAAATGTAAAAGCTGTATTACTGTATGGCTGCGAAACGTGGAAGATATCAGCACCCATAGTACACCAATTACAAGTTTTCATCAATAGAGCATTACGAAAAATCCTTCGTATATTTTGGCTTAACCGAATCTCCAATGAAAATTTATGGAACCAAAGCAACCAAGAAAATGTCATAAAGCAAATAAGGCGAAGAAAATGGACATGGCTGGGCCACACACTCCATAGACCGCCAAATGACATTGCCAGGACAGCGCTGGATTGGAATCCCCAAGGCCGACGGAAAGTAGGCAGACCTAAGGGAACTTGGAGAAGGACAGTACTGGACGAAGGGAGAAAAATGGGAAAATCCTGGCTTGAAATCAAAGCACTAGCCAGAAATAGAGTTCGCTGGAGACACTTTGTGGAACCCCTATGTTCCTCTTAGGAATCTTGGGACTATATATATAACTCTTGAAAAAGTTGAATGTAGAGTATGAAGTCAGGGGGAACTGTCTGAAGCTTTTATAACAAATAACAGGCTGCTCCAGGGAGACCCTCTCTCCTGTATACTGTTCAATCTGCCTCTGAAAAAAGTAATATGTATGTCACAAATCAAGACCACTGGTTTATTATAATAATAAATCAGTGCAAATCCTGGCCTATGCTAATGATATCAATATTGTTGGGAAATGGAAAACACTGCACGAGAGGTGTATATAGCATTAAAAGAATCAGCTACAAAAATGGGTTTAATAATAAACACCAACAAAATGAAATATATGAAAATTAGCACTCAACCACAAATCTGACAATCTCTTGTTGTAGAAAATAATATCATTGAAGCAGGGAATGAATTTATATACCTGGGAGTGCTCCTTAACACTGAAAATAATACTACAGCAGAGATAAACCACAGAATTTGCACGGCCAACAGATGCTCAGTTCAACAATAATACGACCAGTTCCAACATATGGTTCAGAGACCTGAACTCAACAAAAAATAATGAAAACATGTTAGGATGTTTAGAAAGAAAAGTACTAAGCCGAATCTATGGAGCAGTAAATAACTATTTAGTGTGGAGAAGATGATACAACTTCGATAACAAAGACCCAGAACAAGGTTCCTTGATAACATCATTATAGTCATAAGAGATATGGCAATATTGGTGGAGAAAGGTGAACAATAATGATGACTGGAGAGAAATTCTTGAGGAGACTAGACCTACGCAGGGTTTGTAAAGCCAGAATGAAGATGATGATTATTCAATCTGTAAAAATAGAGTGTCTATATTCCTTGCTTCTTCTTAAAGATCTGTTTCTGCTTCTGTCAAAATGTGGGTATCTATTTGTAAATTCTTCTATAATTGTTTTACACGTAAATTCTAATTAGGAACTATCTTCTGCTTTTTTATTATTACTTTAACCTAGAGTATAGCTCAACTAGTCATTTAAATAGGAATATTACTTGTGATACTAGGTGTAAATAAAATAAATGTGTTTTTCATGCATACCTCTTGTTTTGTCATATATTCGAGTTTCCTCTTCCTCACAATTAGCTACTTTAACAGCCCCATTTTCATTTTTTGTTATTACCCATTCTAAAAACAGTTAAAAATTAAAATGTATAGATATGTTATTTACAATTGTATACTCTCTGATTCAAATATTTCTAGTTCAGCAGTAGAAGAGGTGCCTTCCATATTCGAGTTATATCATCGATTTAATATTGAAAACATATACTAATTTTTCTTTTCATTTTTTTGAATTATTTATAAATTTAAAAGACACACCATTCTGTCAGTTTCTATAGAGATATTGAACTACTACTACTAACTACTTCTTTTTTGAACCAGTAGTTCCAATAATTAAAAGTTAAAGTTAAACCATCGAGCAATAAACCAAGTTAAACGATTACACACGAGAATACATTGGCTCGATTGTAGATAGGTAGTTTATAAATGGTTTTAAAATCGGCATGAAATGGAGACATTCATTTTGCAATACGTTACTCCTATACAATATTTACACTTAAAAAATAATGTATCTAAAGTTACTGCTGATAACAGATTAATCAATATTTACTAGATTTTGAAAATATTGAACAATAGCATTTTTCAACCTTGCACAAATTAAGTATGTACGCCTAAGTATAGTTCAAATGTCCTGCATTTTTCTTTTTCAAATGAATCACATAACCTCACTTGTATATAAAAAATTTTTGTTTTCAAGAAAATTTAGTTTAATAAGTAATTAATATATGTCCATTATTAAGATTTTTAAAATCGACGACCCTGGTCGTATTTAACAGTTCTAGTATGTTATTCAATGGACATTTTAAAAATATAAAAAATATTGGTAGGGCATATTGTACAAATCCAAAAAAGTATGCAGTATTATTACCAAAGACAACATTTCCTTTAAAATTGACTGGTAAGAAGCTCATAGAACGTGATGAAAATGTATACAGTAGCGCCGAATTTGAAAGACTGTACATTTGGCAAAGGGGACATTTATCAGAACCAGAATTTGTGTTACATGATGGCCCACCCTATGCAAATGGTCGACCTCATATGGGACACGCTATCAACAAAATTTTAAAAGATACAATTTTACGCAATGAGATTTTAAAAGGTAATAAAGTACACTACATTCCAGGTTGGGATTGCCATGGATTGCCCATTGAGTTAAAAGCTTTAAGTAATACAAAAGAGAAAGATCCTATTGAAATTAGAAAGAGAGCAAGAAATTTTGCTAAGGAAGCAATTGAGGAGCAGAAGAAAATATTTATGTCGTGGGGAGTTATTGGGGATTGGAAACATTCTTATACTACATTTTCAAAAGACTATATGAAATTGCAGCTCAGACAGTTTTTTAAATTATACAAGAAAAATTTGGTCTATAGAGACATTAAGCCAGTTCATTGGTCACCATCATCACAAACTGCTTTGGCAGAAGCTGAGTTGGAGTATAATGAGAAACACAAGAGTCTTAGTGCATATGTTCAGTTAAAAATTAAAAGTGTGCCAAAAATTTCTTCTTTAGCAGATAAAGATGTTTATGCAATAATTTGGACTACAACTCCATGGACATTGCCCTCAAACCAAGCTGTGTGTTTTAATAAGGAATTTTCTTACTCGATTCTCAAAAATCCTGACACTAATGAGATCTATATAGTTTCTACAGATCTTGTTGAAGATGTTTCAAAGATTCTAAATATAAATTTTGAAGCAGTTCAGATTGTGCCAGGAAATGCTTTAGATGATATTGTTTATGAACATCCTGTGTATAAAAATAAAGTGTATAATTTTCTTCCATCAACACATGTTACCAATGCTAAAGGCACAGGTTTAGTACATTTAGCAGGAGCACATGGTCCAGACGATTTTCTAGTGTGTCTTAAGAATAAAATGCAGATAGTAGATCTGGTAGATGATAGAGGTTGTTACACAAGTGAAGCAGGACCTTCACTTCAAGGAAAGAAGTGTTTGACAGATGGGAACAATGCTGTTTTAGAAATATTAGGTAAAAATTTACTGCATAAGGAAATGCTAACTCACAGTTATCCATATGATTGGAGAACAAAGAAGCCTGTGATTATTAAAGCTAGTAAGCAATGGTTTATTAATACACAAGCAATTAAATCCAGGGCTGTTGAACTTTTAGAAGATGTGAATATACTTCCACATGATAGGAGTGAAATATACAAAACAAATTTGATCAAACAAATTGAAAAGAGGCCTTATTGGTGCATTTCCAGACAACGAAAATGGGGAGTCCCAATTCCAGTTTTATACAATAAAACTACTTCAGAAACAATCATAAATGAGAACACTATAAGCCATCATTGCAGATTAATTGATGAAAAAGGAACTGACTTTTGGTGGAAATTAAATGGACAAGAACTCCTGCCTGAAAATACATGTTCAAAATCAGATGATATTGAAAAATGTGAAGACATAATGGATATCTGGTTGGATAGTGGTCTCTCCTGGAGTAAGGTTTTAGAAGGTCCAAAAGTAGCGGATATGTATCTTGAAGGTGTAGATCAGTTTACAGGATGGTTCCAATCATCCCTGCTTACTTCTGTAGCACTTAGAGACAAGGCTCCATATAAAACAATTTATGTGCATGGTTTTGCAGTTGATGAAAATGGCATAAAAATGTCTAAATCTATAGGTAATGTTGTAGACCCTGAGGAAATTATGAAAGGTAAAAAGGGAAAGAATGTCTATGGAGTTGATACATTAAGGTGGTGGGTTGCTTGTCATGCTAATCAACAGGCTTTAGCCAATGTGAGTACTAATGTGCTAGAATCAAGTGCTGAAGAAGTGCAAAAAATCAGAAGTGTACTAAGATTCGCACTTGGATGTTTAAGTGACTATGAAAATAAAGACTTGAATAAATCTCGCCTATTGTTGATTGACAGATATATGTTACATTTATTATATGAGTTTCACAATAAAGTCACCCAACATATGCAAAACTTCCAGTATCACAAAGTGTCAATTGCTGTTATCAATTTATTAACAAACTCTGTATCTGCATTATATTACAACTCTATAAAAGACAGACTTTACTGTGATATACAAACTAGTACTGAAAGAAGAGCAGCTCAATTCACATTATTCCAAATTTTTGAAATCATAGCACAGTCAGTAGCCCCTATGTTGCCACATTTAGTTGAAGAATTATACTTTCACTTTACCCAGAAAGAAAACAAAACTTTCTTTACCAGTAAGCATTCACAACCCACTGAAGATTGGAATAATAGTCAAATTGAAAAGTTATTTGAAGTTATCTTGGGATGCAAAAGAGAAGTAAATAAAGAAGCTGGAGCAAACACTATCAATAAAGTTGTAGATATTATATTTTCAAAAGATGTCTACAAAAACATTATTAAACCATTAACTAGCCTGGAGGAATTAGAAAAACAATTAGTAGACATACTTCAAGTATCTCATGTAAATATTATTGAAAGTGACCTTATTGAACCTTATAAAATATCTGTGAGTGAGAGTAAAAAGTGCAGTTGTCCTAGATGTAGAAAAGTTAATTCAGAAAAGGAAAATGAATTGTGTATGAGGTGTTATGAAGTGTGTAATTCTATAAATAGTCAAACAGCTGTTTTTACTAATTAAAACTGTATATAATAAATATTTTTAAAAAATAGTAAAATCTTTTATGCTTTCTATTCCTGTACACAATTTTATATCTTTTGATAGGCTACAAAACTTCTTTGGTAATTTTAATATTCTCTAGAACATTTAAGGTAGGTGGTCATATTTTTATTTGTGAAAAACAGAATCCAATTCAATTAGAAGAACAAAAGGAAGATCATGCACTGATGGTATATTCATTCTGCAGCAGGTAATTGAAAAACGGAAGGCAAGGAATCTACCCACCTATTTTGTAGATTTAGAGAAGGCATATGATACAGTACCTTTGAAAAAACTGTTTCAAATATTGAAGAAAGTAGGTCTCAGTATAGAGTATGTGGATGCTATCACAAATATATACAAAAATGCAAGAAGTGTCGTTAAAGAAGGAAACTTATTATCTGAATCATTTCCAATAACAAAGGGGCTTAAACAAGGATGTTGTCTATCTCCGACCATATTTAAAATATATATTCAATCATCGCTAGAGCAGTCGAGGAAACAAGTATCCAGAATGGGAATAGACATAGGCGGTGGTAAATGTCTACAACTTTATTTTTCGCAAATGATCAGGTAGGCATAGCGAATGATGAGAAAGACATGGACTACATGTTTAGAAAACTAAAGAAAGAATATGAAAAATGGGACCTCAATATGAATATGTCAAAGACAGAGTATCTTAAAATAGGAGATGATGAAGAAGATCCAGAGTTAGAAATTAGAAACACAAAAACATGCAATGAATATAAATATCTCGGATCTATAATATCTAAAGAAGGCACTACCAAAAGAGACATCGAAAATAGAACGCAGCAGGGAAAAAATCGGTAAACATTCTAAACTCTCTACTATGGTCTAAAGATATTGGACAATAAACAAACTTGACAATTTATCGAACCTTGGTAGAGCGTTTTATGACTTATCCAAAAAAGATCATATCAGGAATGAAGATATTAGAAGGAGGATAAATACTGTATATTCCAGTGTAGATATAATTGTAACAAGACAACTAGTGTGGTATGGTCACGTGAAACGAATGAATGAAGATATATGGCCAAAAAAAGCTTTAAATTACATACCACAACAAAGAAGAAGAAGAAGGCCTTCAGTTGCCTGAAGAAAATGTATATTTGGAAATCCAAAAATAAACAAATAAGGACTGAACAAACTGAACAAGAAAATTTAAAAAGATAAAAATGGATGTAAAGAAACCCAAGTATAAGACAATAACGAAAGTTCTAACAAGACTGTAGATAAATAGCAAAAATAAATATTCCAATTCAAAAATAGAGAATAATACAAATTGTGGAAGAATTCTACAGGTTGACAGATTAGGACAAAACTTAAATGGAAATATCAAGGAAAAAATATTGTAGATGAAAGAAAAAAATGAAGACCAAGATGATGTATGAATAATATAGAGAATACTGGAAAGTAACTGTACAAGATACAGAAACTTGGAAACATTTAATGATGCAGGGTGGGGGAATTTTATGTAGCAGGTAATTATACCGGTCTTGCTGGTGTCATGTGTGCACATGCAAAGGTATAACAAAGCATATCATTTGGAGGAAAGACATATGGCTACATGTGCTTACAAATTTCAGTTGTTATTGAGACTGTAAGCGTTATTTTTTCTGGTACTATTGTTTTTATGTTATCAAATGAAAACGTAATTCTTACTGGGAATTTCCTTGTTAATTAGAATAGTCTTTCCAATATTTTTATAACATTGAAATAGTTACCGTCATGTGGGGTAATATTGCACACAAAATGGGGGTCATTTTATGCTTGTCTTGCTTGCTACAAGTGTAGATATAAGTACCTAGAACTAATTATTTAATTGCATTTTAATTTAATTTAATTTTAATTGCAGATGCCAAGAAAATATATTCGAAAAGTTCCTACTCGTGGCAATATTGCAGATGAGGTCTTAGAAAGACCTTTAGTTGCTATTAGCTCGGACTGAAAAATTAGAGAAGTTGGATGAACTTTTAACATATCCGAGGCGACTCTTCATTACAAAATAAGGATGAATCAGATATCAATGTGTAAACTCGGTCGAAAGACATCTTTACGGAAGAATAGGAGAAAGAATTAACTAAACATATCTTGGAGCTAGCTAAAATGTTCTATGGTATCACTATTAGAGAGTGCTGGAAATTGCTGGCTTTAGATCTGCTGGTATTTATCCTTGCGACCCTGATAAATTTAAATATGAAGATTTATTGCCTGCTCAACAGTTTCTACCAGTCTTAGAAAATGAAGTAGAAGAACATTGAGCATCTGATGCCGAGCAACTGGAAGATCAGGTTGTTATTAATAAAAATGGCAACATTACTCCAGAGGCAGTCTCACAAGTAAATTCTGAAATATATCCAATTCCTAGAGCATCAAAAGCCAATGTTCCTTTTTCGGATTTATTACCATTACCAACAGTCCACATAATCTCAAAAAACTAGCACGTGTACAAATAATAGATCTGAAATCCTGACATCCACACCGATGAAGAATATTCTCGAAAAAGCTGACTGAAGACGAAAGAGAGAAACGAAAAGGTAGCTGCTACAAAAAATAATTTTTGGCAAAGAGGCCAAAGTCAACCCATGTTGAGAAGGTGAAACGGAGGAATCAAAATATTACGAGAAAGGCATCTGTAATGATGATGAACTAGACAATTGTGATTTCAATGTGCATCTTGTTTGGGCTGGGCCCAAGCCCCTTGCACTGCGAGAGAAAGTTCGAAGGACTATATCTGTGATAAATGTGTTGAATAAATAGGTACTTAGTTTAAATTATAAAATGTTCAATAAAACCATCAAACTGTACAATTTTTGTAATTTGCATAATTTCTCGATACACTGCGTAAAATTACCCATATAGATGGGTACTTATTTGCGTCTACGATTATCTTTAGTAAGTTAACTATATTAATTTGAATGGTTTTAATAACTTAACAAACAACAAAAAAGACGGTTTTGCTGAAGTGCGTAGAATTACCCCACCTTTCCTTACACTAACGATATAACTTGAGATGATAAAAAATAATTGCCAAACTTCTGCAATTTATGTAATCAGCTAATTGAAATACTACGGGGTTTTTCCCATTAATTTTAATTGAAATATGTTTCTATAATGGAATAGTAACAATGTATTGGCAGCCTTGTTAATTGTTTTACTGTACAAATGATTATAATATATAATCCCTGGTATTGTTTATGTGGTAATTTTAGTCTAAAATCTAAGAAAACGGCAATGTATAGATGAGATCGAACTTAGTATTTGTGGAAACACAAAAGACTTATACTTTAATATGAGTCTTTACTTAAGATAAGGTCTTTATTATCTTGAAGAATTTTATTAACAGAATTTGAAAGAACATGAATTTCAGGTATTAACCCTTCTTTCCAAAGATTGCAATAAAAAAATTGAAAAGGACAAAAACTTGTCCCGGAAAGCTGTAGTTTTAAATTGATGAGAAGTTGTAGTTTTAATTATTCTAATAACTTATCCATATATTTAGATATTACTTGTTTTTAAAGTAACATAGATTTAATGTCACCTGATTGGAGTCCAACATCAACAGGAAACGCCCTAAAGTGTGAATAAGGTATAACCAAATATCAACTGAGAACATGACATAGGGTCTGCTACTATATCATCCTGGTAGATACTCACACAAGTTCACTTACACTATGCTCAGCCGTACCACAATTAGCTCATTTAAGATGAGATTTGTCCTGCAACTACTATGCTCCCCAACCCTGAGATGTAACACCATCGTGGCCACAGGCTCCATATAATCGAGTGTGATTTCCTTTCATTTCTTTATATCCGTTTTATCTGATCCTGTATTTGTTAAAATTACCCCCAAGTATTTTTATACTTTGGGCAACCTTGGTAGAAGATTTTTTTCTCAAAAATCTACCTATAAAAGACTATTACTGTCTAGGATACGCTGACGATATTGCAATTATAGTCAGGGGCAAATTCGCCCCGGTTGTGTCTGGGAGAATGCAAGTAGTCCTAAATATAGTTGGTAACTGATGTAAGCAAGAGAAACTGACAGTCAGTGCTAAAAAAACACAGCATTGCAAGGCCTAACACCACCAGTGCTGAAAGAAACAGATATTCCATTTGACAAAGAAACAAAGTACCTAGAGGTATATTTTGATCATAGACTTACATGGAATACTCACATATTTAAAACTACATAGAAAGCTACTATGTCCTGGGAAAAACATAGAAGGATGTGTGGTAAAAATTTGGGGCTCGATCAAATAATAACTCTTTGGTTATACACAAGAGTTATTAGACCAATGACAACGTATGGGTCTGTGACGTGGTGGAAAAAAGACGCAGCAAGTGAAAGCAATAAGGCTGCTAAGTAATACACAAAGACTAACGTGTCTGTGTATTACGGGGGGCATACAAACAACTCCTACAGCGGCGTTGGAAGTCCTGCTTAATCTTCCATCATTTTATATCTTTATATAGGGCGAAACCAGATCTGTAATGCACAGATTAATATATAGTCAGCAACACATAAGCCCGACGCACAGTATAATAGGAAAATAATCGAGGAGCTAAAGGAAGATATCGCATTGAGGCAACCCATCGATGCATCACCTACGAGATACAGCTTTGACAATAAATTCAAAATTAATATACCTGTCAGGGAAAAATGGAAGGAAGACCCATACAAGCAGAAGCTACCTGCTACACTGATGGCACAAAATTATCTGAGGATGTAGTAGGGACAAAGCAAGGGATACATTTCCCGATAAGTCTATATAAGGATGTCACAATTTTCTAGGCGGAAATAACGGCAATCCATTACTGTATGGAAGACATAGAAAGGTAGAAAAGAACACACCGTTGAATTGTCATCTTCATAGATAGCCAGGCAGCGCTTAAGGCACTCAATTCTGTAGAGGTCAATTCTAAGCTAGTATGTTATTGTGTGGGTGCCTTAGATAAACTAGGTTACGGTAGCCTGGCTAGTAGGTCA